ACGCATTCCGGGTGGGTCTATGGGAGGGGGCCTCTTGCAGGCATGGTCGACACTCGGAAGCCCGGGCGGAGGCAAGGGCCGGAGGTGAACACAGCCTCGCGGCCGGCTCGTCTGTATGCAGGTAACGCCGACCCGCCAAAGAGTGGGCGTGTATGTGTATCTTTGTGTGTGAGCGCGCGCGCGCGCGCGCGACTTGATCCAGGTCTCCTGGCGTAGTGACCGATCGGTGGAGAGAAAGATGGAAGGGGCTCATAGAGAGAGAGAGAGAGGGAGCAGGGGCCGCACTCAGCGCACACACAGAAGTTTCCCCCATGTGCTGCCCGACCTCATGGAGCTGATAGCCATCATTCGGCTAAGCCGATAAAGTTCCCGCGGGACGAACAGCACCGGGGATTTCGGCCGGGGCCGGCTCACGAAGAGGGGGCATCCGGGTCGGGTCCGCTCCGGGAAGCTCCAAGCGGTGATTCGTACGGCTAGGTGCGCCTGTGCCGCGCCCCAACGGGGGCCCCCTTCACCGGCGCCCATTTGTCCCGCCCCGGGGACATGGACCCCGGCGCAACCAATGAGGAAGAACGCTCCACGCCCCCCCCCCCTCCCACCCTCGGTCTTGGTCCCAAGGCCATGCACCCATGGACGGATCCGGGCGTGTATGTGTGTCGGCGCGTACGACCGCAATGTCCGCACTTCGACACCCACCACATGGGCTGCCTCTAGCGCAGGGCGGCCAGAGAGGGAGGATCCTGGAGCCGTTCGTCGGCAGGTGCACCGCACCTTCTTACGTCCGCTCACGGAGTGCTGTTTGCTCCCAGTGGAGAAGCGGACCCCAGCCCGCCTGCCCCCTGCCCCCTTGCGCCTCGCCTCCAGGGGCGCTTCCCCAATGGGAGGACTTCCTCGAAGCGCCCAAAAAAGCACACGGAAGCGCCTTCTTCTGGAGAAGCGTCCGATGGAAGAAGACAGATACACACACACACACACACGCACACACACGCACACACACACACACACACACACACACACACACACACACGCACACACAGACAGTGACCCTTCCCTCCCGAGGATGTCGTGTTTGCTGTGCCTAGGGTGGTGCCAGGAAACCACCGTGGATAGCACGCCAGGAGCCCCTCCTCCCTTCCCCGGTGGTGTTGGAAAGCCATGCGCCGGGCACGCGCCGGGGAGTGGTCGCGCCAGAAGGTGAGCTTCCTCCAATGTGGGACATGAGGGTGCCCATGTGTGGAGAGCTGCCCTCTTCTCCTCGCATGTGTGTGTGTGTGTGTGTGTGTGAGGATGTGGTCGTCGAAGGGGGGCTACCCTTGAGGTGCGCAAGGGATACGCCACGTGCAAATATCAGGCCGAGCCATATTCGAGTACATTGAATCGCCCAGGCTCGGCGCGGGTTTCCAGGCAACCG